GGGATGCAGGCCAGGCTGGCCCAGCTGGCAGGTGCAGGTGATGCATTGTCTTGCAGGTGGCCTATGATGCAGGTGACTATTACCACTCCATTGCATGGCTGGAGGAGGCTGTCAGCCTCTTCCGCCTCTCCTATGGCAGCTGGAACCTTGAGGACCGGAGCAGTCTGGAGGATGCTCTGGACCATTTGGCCTTCTCCTACTTTATGGTACAGCCATGAGTCCCCTCCCCATCCCAGTGTCCAGGAGAGCCAAACCATGGGTGGGAGGATGGATGCTCACGGGGTCTCCACTCCCTCTTCCAGGCTGGAAACATCTCTCATGCCTTGAGCCTCTCCAGGGAGTTTCTCCACTACGGTATGTGGGAAAAGGGAAAAGATTTTGGGGTGACCTCATCACCACTATTTGGCAACAGCCTCCCTCACCCCATTTCTTGCCCCCAGCTGGGGTAATTCTCCCGGGACCAATGCCAGGGAAGGGGGTCGATGGGGATGCAGCATTCTGGGTGACACCACCTCCCCAGCAGATCCCAGTAACCAAAGGGTATCGAGGAACGTGGCCAAGTACAAGAAGCTGCTGGAGATGGGGACTGGGGCAAGTGCCAGCCCCCTGCAACGCCCCAACAGCACCCGCCTGCAGAGCCGTGATGCCTACGAGGAGCTGTGCCAGCGCCCCAGGGGGCAGGTGGGACTGGCAGGGGGTGCCATGGTCCCCCCCCACCACTGTCCCCCCCTCATGCTTTCTGTGGTCCCTTTTTTCCCCAGCCAGCCTCAGAGCCGCTCCTGTACCTCAGCTGCTCCTACGAGACCAACAGTAGCCCCCACCTCCTCCTCCAGCCTGCCAAGAAGGAGATGGTCCGGATCCAACCCTATGTGGCTCTGTACCATGACTTCATCACTGATGCTGAGGCTGAGACTATCAAGGGGTTGGCAGGGCCCTGGGTGAGCCATCCTTTTCTCCAGGGATGTCCCTTTCCTGCAGCAGGGTGTCCCAGGAGACCCAGGGTGAATGCAGGGATAGGAGGGGTTTGAAGGCCAAAGCCTCCTCAAGGGAGTTCAGATGGGATAGGGCTTGGAGCAACCTGGTCTAGTGGAACCTGTGTCAGGGGGGTGTAACAGGATGATCTTGGAAGGCCCCTTCCAGCCCAAACCACTCTAAGATTAGATGAGACCCTGGGGATGATGACCCCAGTTCCATCTGAGTCCCCCAAAATATTTTTTGGAAGAAACCAGGTCCACGGATGCACCTAAACTGCTTCCCAGCCAGGCTTGACTTGGTGCCACCCTACTGCCTTGGCTCCGCCTGCTGTCATTGCTTCCCTCACCCCAGTGAGACACCTTGGGGTGGGATGCTTGGCAACCAGCTGGTACAAACCCACCAGCTTCGACCCTGACCACAGCCCCTGCTTGGGGCGAGGGTCCCCCCATGTGCATCTCCCATGTGTCCTTCAGCTGCAGAGATCCGTGGTTGCCTCTGGGGAGAAGCAGCAGAAGGCCGAGTACCGGATAAGCAAGAGGTAGTAGCCACCTCTCCTCCCTTGTCCTCCAGCCAGCAGGACCACTGTGGCTCCATGGCCACCTCTGAGGTGGCGGTGAAGCCATGCTGGGAAGCCTGGCTCCTCCAGCAGCGCCCTGAGGGTAAAGCCCAGCCACAGACGAATTTGGGGGCTGGTCCCACAGCGCCTGGCTGAAGGACACGGCTGACCCAGTGGTGCGGGCGTTGGACAGGCGCATCGCCGCCGTCACCGGCCTGGACCTGCGGCCACCCTATGCAGAGTATCTGCAGGTGGTCAACTATGGCTTGGGAGGCCACTATGAGCCACACTTCGACCATGCCACGGTCAGGGAGCTGCCAGGGTGGGCCGTGGGGAGACCCTGGGGTGATGCCCAGGGTGGTTCTTGTGGTGATCCTGGGATGGACTCTGGGATGCTCCTGGCATGGACTCAGGAGCGCCCCATGGATGTTCCTGGGGATGGGCCCTGGGGTGTTCCTCATGATGCTGCTGGGATTGGTGCCCAAGGGAAGACCCGGAATGGTCCCTGGGGGTGTCCCCATGGTGATCCCTAGGTTATTCCCTGAGATGTTCCCAGTGATGCACCCTGGGATGACCCCTGGCAGGGGTAGGATGGATGGTCCCAGGATGGTGATCCCTGGGTGGGTTCCTGGGGTATTCCTGGGAAGGGAGGGAATGAGGGAAAAAAAAGAAGGGAGAGGGAGGGATTTTACTGGGGGGGGAACAGTGTGGGGCAGCTTAGAGCTGCTGGGACATGAGGTGCCTGTGGGCTGAGCCGTGTCAGTGCAGGACTGACCATCCCCATGGGACTGACCATTCCCACCTGCCCTTTTGGAGCAGTCCACGAAAAGCCCCCTGTACAGAATGAAGTCGGGCAACAGGATCGCCACAATCATGATCTACGTGAGTTCTCCCTCATTTCTGGAGAGATGGCGCTGGTGTGGCCCTCAGGGTATGGGATGGGGGAGGACAGCCCTAAAACTGCAGTGGGTGGGAAGTATCCTGGGGAGTATTCAGGAGCTTGTGCTGTGCCAAAGTGAGGGGAACAGAGCTGGGGCCCAAGGGAGGTTTTGTGCCTCAGTTTCCTTGTGCAAAGGAGCATCACAGGGAAGGGACAAGCCATGGCTCCTATTTGTGCTCCTTTTCCAGCTGAGTGCAGTGGAGGCAGGAGGCTCCACTGCTTTCATCTATGCCAACTTCAGCGTGCCCGTGGAAAAGGTGAGGAGTCATGGAATCCCTGGGATCAGGGGAGGGAAGACTCTCTGTATCCCTCTGTATCCTCTGTAATGCCTGATCTGTTTTGGGGTGCCAAAATTCAGTCTTGGGGATCCCAGCTCTGTTTAGGGTACCAAACCTGTCTCTGCTCCGCAGAATGCAGCTCTTTTCTGGTGGAACCTGCGAAGAAATGGGAATGGTGATGGGGATACCCTCCATGCCGGCTGCCCCGTCCTAGCTGGGGACAAATGGGGTGAGAGACGCTACCAGTTGTCACCCCGGGGTGACACAGGGGTGGTTGGAGGGACAGCTCCACCGGCAGGGAGACAAGAGGGGCTGGGAATGCACAAATATCCTGGATAACAGGGAAAAAGTTCCCTGATAGCAGTGCAGGATTAGAGAAGGGTGCAGAGGTATGGGAACAGACAGGGGTCCGTGTCCTTGTCTGTTCCAGTGGCGAATAAGTGGATCCATGAACACGGGCAGGAGTTTCGGCGGCCGTGCAGTGCTGACCCACGGGACTGAGCCACTGTGGGATCATAGATGTGACATCCGTAGGTGACAAAGCCGCTCTGGCACAGCATCTCCTCAAGGGTGGAGCAAAGCAGGGAGGAAGGGAGGGAAGGGGGTGGCAGTGGAGCAGGGGATGACTGGAAGGGGCACTTGCTCAACCACGGCTGGCACAGCTGGGATCTGCACAGGGAGATGGGGCAGAGCTTTGGGCACAGCCCCAGCGGAGTCAGGGTCGGGCTGGAGGATACCTGTGGCACAGCAGCTCCACAGCTCCATCCAGCCTCTGTTCTGGGGGGTTTCTGTTCCCCGGTCATTGCTCTGTGCCCGGTGGTGGCCGCTGCAGCTCCAATGTCGCGTCATGTACAGGTGGTAACGCGATGCTACCTTCCCAAAAGTGCCTCCAGGGGAGACAGCACCTGGGCAGGCTGCAATCTCACACACACACTCACACACACACACACACACACCCCATGGATAGCAGTCACTGACTGAAAGGCAGGAAGGGTCTCTGTATGGAGTTTCAGTGGGGTTTATTCCAACCGCACACCAAAGGCGTCCAGGAACAGAGACAGAAACCAGTGGAGGTTCCAGGAATATATGGGGGCTTGAGGGGGAGGATCCAAGGCTCAGGGTCCAATGGAAATAGGGGAAAATGGTGCAGAGGCAGGGTCAGGGAAAGGGAAATCCAATGGGATTACAGGGGTGGAGGATTGCACCAAACTGGGGCCAACTGGGGAACAGGGAAGGGAGAACTTTCTAGGGAAGGGATATACAAATAAAAAGGGGAGGGACAGCTAACAGGCTAACTGGGTATATAAACTGGGGTACAACAAAATGGAGGTGCAAAGCACTATGGGAAAAGCCCTTCATATTAACTCCAAAATGGGGGAAAACCTTATACCCTGGAGGCCTCTCTCCACACCATGACAGCTTTTGGCTCCGGAGCCTCCACAACTCCAAGGTGAGTCAGGAAGCTTGGGGATCTCTGCAGCTTTTCCAAGGCCTCCCTGCCAGAGCTGCCGTGCGGGCTCTCGGATTGTTTGGGTTCTGTTAGCTAAGGCGACAGGGTTGGGGTTTGTTTGTTTCCGTTTTTTTTTTTTTTTTTTTTTTTTTTTTTTTTTTTTTCTCCCCTGACCCAGTTTGGTCCAAGAACCCACAGGAGGACCAGCGGCCAGGAGCCAGCGGGACGGGGCTGTCCCGGCCCCACACCTCGGGACAGCCAAGCCAGCAAGGGAAAGGACACCAAATCCACCAGCTTCATCTGCTGTGCCGAGGGGACTCATGCCAGAGATCCACCAGGTTCCCTTTTGCCCAAGCTGCTGCGTGAACCCTTTGTTTTTCCCCTTCCCCGAGACAGGGGCCGCTGTCATTTTCCCCCTCCCCACCACCTCGCGGCCTTGGGTTTTGTTTCGCCTTTTCCTGGGATTTTGTTTTATATTTTGGCAGTTTTTGAGTTGGTTTGTTTTCTTTTTAATCCATGGAGGAGGAGGAGTGGTGTGAAGGTTGGGCAATCCAATATCTAGCATTTATTAATTTTCTTTTTCCATGTGTGCACTCTGGCAATAAATGATTGGAGTTTTTTCACTTTCATCCACTACTGTTAACCTCCTGTTGGCAGAAAGGGATTGTTGGAACCCTTTCTTTAGAGGAAACACTCATTCCAGAGCGTTTTTCTCCTAAACTTGTCTCTAAAGCAAGACGCTCATCTAGGTGACATTTGGACGAGATTCCAATACTCCAGGATGGAAACCAAACTTCCCAAGGAGGCCACCAGATCAAAAATCAGGGAAGTGGGATAGAAACAGAAGGCAGAACTCTCCCAAGGCTCTCCTGCTTGTTCTGGGTTTCGAATTGTGCATTTATCACTCCTTGGCTGTGCTCATCCAGGCGTGGATTAACGCTTCCGTAGGCACACAGGGAGAGGGGCGAAGCTGCAAGGAGCATTTGGGCAGGACAGCAGGAACTGGAGCACTGTGACAGGGCTCCAGCAGCCCTCTGGGGCTGTTAAACCTGCCCAAATGTAAAGAGGCCTGGAAGATTTCCAGTTTCTCCCAATTCCTGCTTTTCAGTCAGGAGCGACCACTACAAGACTCAGAGAAGGCTGAGCTGAGCACAGGTTACTCACTAGCCCCAGTGCTCCAGTTTATTACTTTCAGATGTTTCTGTACATTAGACACGGAAAGGAGGGGGAAAAGTGAAAGCTGTGGCTAAATCCCCGCTGCTTCCCACAGTGGGGTGCAGGGAAGGGATGGGGAAGCATTTTGGATGACAAGAGCCTTCCCTGAGTCACCAGAAGAACCCAAGGGTTTGGTCTGGTGCAGGAACAGCTGGATCAACCCCCTTCCTCCACTGGCTGCTCCAAGAAGCCCAAGTATCACAGCTAAAGGGAAAGCAGGAATTCCTACTCCAGGCTTTTCACAAATGCTTTATTTGTAGCTGAGGGGAAACAGACATGGAACAAGACAAGAGCAGGATGAGGCTGACACAGGACACAGTGTGTGGACTCCAGAGAACTGACACATGCACACACGCACACACACACAGACACATTTTCCTTCTGGAAACAGCAGCAAATGGCAGGAGGTCACCCCCCCATGCCACACTGGGAAAGCTCAGCCACAACTGGCCAAGCATCCGGCAGCAAAACTTGGAGCAAACACCCAGTCCCATTCCCGCCGTGTCAGATGCTGCACGGACAGAGTGCTGAGGGGGCAGCATCATCAGATGGATGACACAACCAAGGGATGCAGGTTTGGGCAACACAAAGGGCACTTCCAGGCTGTGAGCAGAGCGCCAGGCTTGGAGACGGGTGGTAGAATGCACTAGGGCCAAGGGTTCTTGGAAGTGAAAAGCTGTTAACTCAAGTTTTGGACCTTGCCTAAAGATCCAGGTCTAGATTTCCAAGAGTGTTCATTACCAGTTCAAACCAGTGAATAGGTGTTGCTAGGCACCTCCACACAGCTCTTTTCCCAGGCCTTTCTGCTCCCAAAAGAAAAGGCAATAGTGGAGAAGAGGAAAAATGTCAGTGCTAAAGTCACAGAATAATTTGGGTAGGGACCAACCTTAAAGCCCATCCAGTCCCACCCCCTGCCATGGGCAGGGACCTTCCACTATCCCAGGTTCCTCCAAGCCCTGTCCAGCCTGGCCTTGGACACTTCAGGGATCCAGGGGCAGCCACAGCTGCTCTGGGCACCCAGTGCCAGTGCCTAAATTGTAAAAAAACTTCTTCCCAATACCCAATTGACCCTCCTTGGGGGAATTTTCCAAGGTCTGTGTTGCCCAGCTCTGCCTTTTGCAGGTCATCCCAACACTGCTTGCAAAGCATAAACTCATGGAAAGAAAGGCTGGAATGGGCTTCTTCAACTTGTCCAAGTTTTTCCTTTGCCAAAACGGGAAAAATAACAACTGTAACTATTGCAGCATCACCTCTGCAGATGCCCTATCACAGTCTGAGGAGAAAATTCTGGCTGGACAACTCCAGGCCCGAGTTTAACTCCTTACTCAAGGGTTGATTTATTCAAAGCAAGAGTACTTGCTTTGCCAATATAGGAAATAATATTTTTCTAACAATCCCAATGCTCCAGTCATCTGCAAGTTCTTGATGGCTTTGTCCAGTAAACAATCTGGCAAAACCCATCCTAGGTCTTAGATATTTATTTATTTAATTTATTCAATTAAAATGAAGCCTGCAGCAAACCAGCATCCCAAAGTACATCTCCTGCTCCTGCCAAACCTTGGGATCTTCCACTGGCAAAGCTACCACTGATCCTCAATCCAACAAGTGAAACGAAACCAAGAGAGGTTTCTTAATTACTTAATTGCTTAATCCAGAGGCTGCAGGAAAAATGCAAAGCTGAGAGTTCTGGGGGAGAATTTTTGTGTCCCTGTTTCTTGTAAGTCAAAGAGAAGATTCCTTCTCTCTGCAAGTTACTTTTACCACAGCCTGTGTATCCTTCACCAAATTCCATTTATCCCAGCCTGCAGCCCACTGGAAACTGCAGCAGGAGCATTAATAGTTCACAGACAAAAGTACAGTCTCAAAAATGTACATGGCTTGACAGAGCCGAAAGGAATTTCCCTTCCACCCACCCCCACAGTGCTGCTGCTGTCCCTGGAATCCATTTTTTAATCAGTACCACGAGTCCCTGAACAGCCACCTATCCAGGGCAGGGCAGGGCTGGGAGCGACGCACCATTCAATTAAATAGGCTCTTGAAATATTTATTTTCTTTTCACTCACTCAGTGTTAACAATGAAACAGAATCCCAGGGAGCCCGCAGGATTTCAGAAATCATTCCTTTTCCAGCGGTGCTTCTACAGAATACAAAACTCATTTGCTTTCCACAGAGGGTTCTGTTTGCTTGGGCTTTTTTACGAGCTCACAAATCAAAGGGATAACGCGAGGAATCACTCCAAGTCAGACTCTCCAAGTTACTTCACCACAGAGGAATGCGACTTCACCACCATCATTCAAGAGGATGATCCCGGGAAGTGAGACTCTGGATATACACGCTGGATTATTTAATCCCTGACAATCTGAACAAAGGAGTTGCCTGCAAAAGAGGATTTTGGCCATTCTGGGAACACGGCTGGGGAGAGAACTATTTTGCATCTCGACTACTGAAGATCCATTGAATCCATCCAGGATGGATGCTACATCATATGAATGCATTAACACAGTGACTCACAGAGGGAAGCGCAGAGAGCCAGCAATTGCTCTTGTAACACCTGAGTGCCTATGGCCAAAGTGCCAGGAGGGCATTCTTCTCTGGAATGAGGCTTTTGTCTCTAATCCAGGTGCTTCCCAACCTGATATGTCAGCGAAGGGACATGGAGCAAGGCCACACGGCTGCTGTGCCCTGTGAATCCCAGCTAAATGGATCTCTACCAGGCCCAAGGCCATGGTAAAACCCTTTGCCCCATCTGCAGCTCTCAAAGGCCAAGAATTCCTGATGGCTGTTGTCATGGGATGCACAGGGCAGCTCCCAAATCACCACAGAACTTTGCCTCAGCAGAGCAGGGTTAAAATCATTGGACAGCAGCAAGGGGTTATGGCCACCAGGCAAAAAAAAGGGATTTCAGGCATCCACCAGCAAAATATTGAGGAAAACTGCTCCAAACCATGTCTGCTTTTACACTCAAAAGTGACTCTTAGGTGAAAGCAAGCCCAGGAACTGTCTGTGGATAACTGAACCCTAAAGAAAAGCTCTCTGTGCACATGGAATTCTGGAAGGCAGGCAGCGAAATGATCTAGGAAGCAACAGTGGAAAAAAGGTCCTTCCTCCAATACTGGGCAGAACAGCTGCCTACACCTCTGCATCATCAGCAGGACTGACTCCAAGCTCTCCCAGGGTTTTTTCTACAGCCCATTCCATGTTTTTCCATCCCAAAGGCGCTGATCTCTGCTCAGCTGTGTGTGGCAGCTACAAGAAGGGAAGAACAAACACATTCCAGGGGCCGAAAACAGCCAAACTGCCTGTTGAGCACGTTGTCCCTGCTGCTTTTGGGCCTTCTCCATAAACACAGGTTCAGAGTCCTCCGGTCTGGGATGTGTCTGTAGTAGATGGAGTACATGGAGTTATCCAGGCTCTTCTTCCCAGAGATGACTTGAAACGAGCACTAAAAAAACTGCAAGACTCTGAAATGGAGCTCATGGTCCCCCCCTCACCTTTCTGGTTTACAATCCCATCCAACTTTGCCCAGGAGAGTGGCCTCCAGGCTTTTTCCACAGCTTAACCCCTAAGGCTGGTGCTGGTGAGATGAAACCTGAGCTCACAATGAAGCCAATTCCTCTTCTGCTTTAGGGGGAAAAAAAGTGTATATATAAAACCCAAACCTAAGGGGCACTTCCAAGATGATTCTATGATTCCACAGAGAAATCCTGAAGCCTTTGGCTGTACTGCAATGCCCTCAGTGGATCTGGACTGCCAACAGCCCTTCTGCAGTTGGGTCCAAGAAAGCCTGAGAATTGATGGAGATTGGTATGATTGACTACATGGGATTCCAGGAGGTCTTTCCTTGTGGCAGCAGAGAATAGGATCCCACTTCCAAGGGCCTGAAGAGCTTTTCATGGTCTTCAGTAGAAGCTGCTTCCCAGCAAGGGAAAGTCCCTAAGAATTTAGGTATTCTGGAGAACTAGTTCTAGGGGATGAATCTCACACCAACTTCTCACTGCTGCTGGACTGGGAGATGAGAGGATATGGATACATCACAGTGGCCTCTGGTGCAGTTTATTTACAATGGGAATCAGTGCTGGAGAACACCAGGATATTAACAAGCAGGAAACACACTAGGAGGCAAAAAAGAGAATAGAAGAAAGACCCCATGTTAGCATCAAGGTATTCTCTGCAAACTCTGCAACAGCCTAAATTTAGCTGTAAAGTCCTTAGTTCTTCTCCCTCTCTCCCTACGTACACATCAGCCTGCAATATCAAGCTTATCAGTCACACTCTTCTCTCACTGCCTGGCTGATCACAGGGGCCTGGCTTCCACAGGGCATTTTGATAAGAAGACACGTGAGATGAGTATGGAAAGTCTGCAAAGTGAAGCACACAGCTTTACCTGCCTCATCTCACCAGTATTTCTTGGCCA